TCAATGACATTTAATGCTAACACACTCAGAAAATCGTGGTTAAGAACCGAAGGAAACGAATATCATATGTCATGATATCCTCTTATTTATTTATTCTTTCATTTTTTATGTAATCGGAAAATGATGATAAAAAGAATTTTAAATACTATGTGTCAACAAATATTTTCGGATAGTAATGGTTTTCCGCTCTGTCACATGAGAAAATACCTGCAATACCAACTTTTTAAAGCTTTGTATGAATACATGCATAATGTATGAACATTCCTCAACTGTTTGATATCGTTAGAAAACTTTCAGCAACTGTAACCTATGCAGATCCTTGTTCGTAGTTTTAACACGTGATTGGTTTTGATAGAAACTGGTTTCCAATGAAGAATGTTGCCGTAATAAAGTATGAGGATTTTGTCTAGTCATCTCATGCAATAGTGCTATATATTACACCGAGACACGTTTGGGGATTCGTGACGTCATAAGGAGCACGGCTTGTGATTGGCCAAATTACAACCAATCAAAACTCGTTTGTTATGCACAGTTATATTCAGCCATGGTGTTAATTAACATCTCTCACTCTTGATTCCCTTTGATATTAATTTCGCATTCGATATTTAATTTATAAAGGCTATATTGATCTACACAAAGTGGGTATTATTTTATTTTATTTTATTTTCACAAACAGGACATAACAAATAGTTGAACCATTCCAATTTCCGTAGCCAGTCGCGTTTGGGTCGTTCCTGAATCATTTGCCCGTCCGAAATTTTACTTACCACGGATACCCGGACATTTCGCGCACTGGAACATCACACGTGTCAGAAAAATATTATATTAATGTCCATTAATCATAATGTCATTGTTAGACATTTGGCAATGCACGTTTTTCATGCGATGATGGTTTGATTGGTTTGTTGTTTAACGCCGCACTCAGCAATATTCTAGCTATATGGCAGCGGTCTGTGAATAACTGAGTCTGGACCAGACAATCCAATGATCAACAGCATGAGCATCGATCTTAGCATTTGGGATACGATGGCATGTGTCAACCAAGTCAGCAAGTCATTCACGTGACGAAGGGGCAAGAAAAAGCCCAGAAACGTTGTGTATACAATAGAAAGAAGTTGACATCCATGATATTTTGTCTTATACAAGTCAGGGAGTCTGACCACCCCATCCTGTTAGTTGCTGAATCATGCGATGTAATTAAAATGAAATTTTGTTGTAATGTGAGACCGAGAGGATCGAATGTTGTCAGCATACTCAAGCTGTATCGGAATATTCCCTTCATGCTTGCTAAAATACAGATGATGACTGAGAATAAACTCCTGATGGAGGATTTGGCATATATTCAGAAACATTGTGTTCCCCATCAACATTAAGTTGACATCGATAAATTCTATCCCTCGTGTGTATTGCTTTTAAATACCATCAAAAACTTCATCTTCCACAGGTCCAAAAAATACGACGCTCGGGGACCGGCCTATTTCAGTTGCTCAACGATCTATGCAACACATAATTAATGTTCAGATTCATCGATGTTGAATTGATTTCAGCTATGGACAGTGATCCACAGCTGACCACCTGTTCACTGAGAACGACCATTGTTCTTACCTGCTCAGAGTGCTAGACTCATATACGCGTGTGACCCCGACGAGTGCTTGTAATAGCTATAGCCCGAGGGGTCGTGTACTGGCCCACCTCGTGGTTGGGTGACATGGTGTTCGTTTAGACGTATGGTGACTCAACACCATTACACAACACAATATATACGTTTTGTAGTAGCAACGATCCACTTGTTGGTCATTCTATCTGTTTATCTTTTACAGTTTGGAGATGTTCTCCCCTCCAGATCAAATTACATGCCTATACCTACTGGAGAAGTTTTTATTCCTACATGCCTTCGACGCAGACTCGTGCACTCCCAGTCTATATAATGTATATTTCTTCTCTGATATATATTATCAATGTATTATTTGTCTTTACTCGGTGAACACACTGCACTTGTAGCGTATTTTACATTTAGGAGTGAGTATGGTTTTACTCCGTTTACGAAGACCGGGTTCGATTCCCCATATGGGAACACTGTGTGATGCCTATTTCTGGTGTCCCCCGCAGTGGTATTGCTGGAATATTGCTAAAAGCGGCGTAAAACTAAACTCACTCACTACATTTAGGGTTACACTTTAAAGTACAGTACGGATTCTTTTAATCTTGGGAATTGAGAGCCACCCGGGATTCGAACCAATATCCTCAGAAAGAGGCATATATAGTCGCCAGCACACAGGGCCAGCCATTTAACCCACTCAGCCCCGACAAAATGAAGGTCCGACAACTGGTAGTCCAGACCACACACTCTGTGTACAACGTCGACTGTATTAATTGACACGGCTCCCATGCCCGTAAGCTATGACCGCACAAAGGCTTTCTGAAAACAGTCGAATGAAACATATGTTCTCACTAACATGTGATAGCATGACATGTGTGATGGCATGACACGACTATTGATTGATGTATTTCCTAACAGGTTAATTATTTTAAATCTATATATGTGTATTTCGAATTACAGTGGTGAAACGATATAAAATACAGCAAATTATATTAAAGCCTATTAACACAGAAAGACGAACGTTGAATTAGAACGTATTTTCTTCAAAATAGTGCTGTTCACGTGTATTGTTTTATTCAAAGGATAAAAGTGAGCACAGACAAAATATAGAGAGAAATACAATGGTTGTTGTGAAAATTACCCCTAATGTCCAATGATTTTATATGCTTTTAATTGTAAATATTTGTGTAGGCGCGCAAACAAAAGTATACAACAAAGGACGGCAAACTTGTATCAGGTGGCTGTGAGTGTTTTTACGAGTAAAGTTAATTAAACAACAATGTAAGCAAGGGATTAAACACTGCACTAATTCCTTCCCGAATCCCGCGAAGATGTTGTTTTAACATTTAACATCAACACCTAATCAACGTGAACATCCATAGAAACCAAAGTAATGGAGGTTAATTAAAACACTATCCTCCGGCTAATTAACTTGAGAAAACATGTGACAATTAGCAATCTTTCGACTCATGTTACCTGAAGTTAAATCAGTCAATCCAGAAGGTGCTAAGATTAAAGATAATCCTCTCCGTAGGGGTTGGAAGATAATAGGTGAAACATGAAAATAGAGAAGATTTATTTATGCTCGCATTGCGAGTTGTGCTAAGATTAAAGAGAACAAGAACGCTACGTAAACGTTTTTTTATAATTAGTTCAGAGTGATTAATTGATCAAAGTTTCAAAGTTAAGTTTCTTGTGAATCTAAACTGACCTAAAGTATATATTCTGTGACGTTTCGATTCATATGTTCATTTTAACAATATTCCTTTTAACAGAATGTACATTAACAGTTTGAATGACTGTTCTTTTTTTAGAAAAGAAAGTGGAGCATTGGCTTATATTTTGTCAGACAACACAAAAATATCTACCCATAAAATAAAAATTCTGATCTCATCTGCATCCACAGCCGACAATGGCGCTAGCACGTGTCATTTCAATTAATAATAATAATAAATATACACTTGTATAGCGCTTGTTTCCAGTTTAATCAACTGCTCAAAAGCGCTTGTGAGCAATGAACTGTCCTGGGAATACACAGTCGAATAGTAGCAGACATTAAATAAATGAGTTTTCAGTAGTGAATTGAATGATTCAAACTCAGGGGCACTTCTTATTTCAAGTAGGAGAGAGTTCCATATGGGGGGTGGGGGGTGGGTGAGAATTGTTATCAATGTGCATCATTTCAAACATAAATATCGCGTGATTGATGTTAAAATTTAACATGTGTCATCATTTTCATGTGTGTGATTTAAATTATCACCACCCACCACCATTGTTATTATAATTATTATTATTGATTCTCATTTAAAACATTGTCGTTATTCAGTGGGTGGAATCATACATACCAGCTCACAAACTACCTACAACGTGAACGTATACCTATCTCGGAATGTAAGACTGATAACGATTATGACTATATGCACATATCTGAAACAGTGCCAAGTATTACAGCCAGAAATAAAACAAGAAACCTCACCCAACCTCACGTTTGACACGTTTATTAGTGGTCTTGGTGCTTTTTTTGTAAGATTACTTAGACCTCATAACATATTCTGTTTTCATAAGAATATATAAGATTCTTTCGTTAATTAATTGCCGATAGTTAAGAAGAATATATACTTTGAAAGGTTACAAAATACACACGGATATATTAAAATGTAACTTATAGGGAAAAAAAATCAAAAAAATCGGCGACACATTCAGAGGCACGAACTAATATTTGCAGAGGTTACTTAAATTAATGATAATATTTCCCTACTGCTTCACAAAGATAACACACAACCGCTCTATCATCGAAACTGTTTGCCTGACAACTACAGATCACCTGAGCTAGAGTAACTGTTTGTTTTTCTTTCAGTTGATTTTCTTGAGTTAAAGTTACTAATATTAACGTATACATTTATTACAGTACATGTACTTAAGTAGGTGCTGTTGTCAAATGACTTACGTACAGCTCAGGAATGTAACAGTATCGTTGTTTTCCGTATTCGTTCAATTTCCCGTTTGAATTTTTGTTAATATTTACACTGTTGCGCTCAGAAGAATGACGCACTTTAATTCGATTCACCGCTGAGTAAATTGTCGCACACGACCTCTAAATCTCCCTTTGGTGAGCAGGGGTGAGAAATTGCCCATGGTTCAGAGGTTAAAGTATTGAATAAATAAGTACATTCGTTTTCCGTGTTGTAACATTCTTATGAGACCCAAGTAGCGAATGAGATCAACTCGCTCGGCTTGCCACAAGAAGTTATAAAACTTGCACTGGCTTACCTAAATCGGACCACAATGACACATGAAAATGGTCATGTGACTTTTCCGGCTTGTGGTTACGGGTCATAACTCCTGGATTTTGATTGGCTGTCGCTTGCTATATACCTGGGTCGCCACCATTTGGCGACAACACAAGTTAAGGTACATTGTCGTGACTCGTGAGATAAACCTGAACTACAATGAAGGCTGATAGCTGTAAATTATCGGAGAGTAGGAATATTCACTGTGCCCTTCTCGGCGACGGTCTTATTGGGAAGACAACCCTCTTCCGGACGTATATAAGTAAAAAGTTTAGAAAGGATTATGTGGCTACGATGCTGGACAAATATACAGGTGAGTGATCTTGCGCCGTTAATATGTATGCACTTACACGTGCTTAATTATCATGTGAGTGACAGGTGTAATTGCATTGCTATGTACACATCTTCCTGTGTTATAAATAGCACGTGCGATATGTGCGTACTTCTACTTCTGCACTTGTTATACGTAATGCACGTGTGTGGGTTTACATATAACTAAGTGTATCATGGTCTGCATGTATATTATTCGCTTACATTTAAAAGTTGGTTAACTTAATATTATTATCACCTTCATAAAGTATTTGTTGATAGGAAGTTAATACATGACACGTTTTCATGGATAACAACTTTTTGTATTATTTATACGACGTCATCAACTGTCATCACGTTGTCATCTAAAACATGTCATGTATTAATGTTCGTCCAACTTCTAAGTGCCTTTCAAGAACTTCATGCGATAGGAAGTTAGCTTAACAACTACTTTCTGCTTTCTGATCTTATATGCGTGGAGGTTACGTAGAAACGAAAATATACATAAGCGACAAAATGGAAATGTAAGTTTGATTGCGAATTTATTACTCGTCGTGAACGAGAAGCCTGCTTAACTCAGAAAATGCAACAATATAACTATCATCTTATTTTTCATCTTGTTTAAAATTAAAACCAGTAAATCATATTTTGTAATGCAATCACCCTTTTACGTGTTCCTTCAGGTGAAATGTGATCATGAATGAACGCGATGTGATACTAATACAACAGACAAACAAAACTTGAGAACTTTTAACAGCTGACAAGTTGAATTAGGCACGTTTAAAACGTCTAAATATTTTAAGTTAAAAATATATATCCGGCCATTTTAAAGAATAGGACCCGGAAAATGAATGCAATATGAGAAGCTGTCATTGTTACCACCGATTCATGTCAAATAACCCACCATAAACACCAATGTGTGCGAAAACATATTTGCCCGCCTTGAAATCATATTCAATGCAGAATTGTAAATATGCTTTTTGCAAACGAACGCGGAAGTAAGATGAGGATTTCCTTTAGACCCCATGGTTACTATTTGCACTGTCGTGTTTTGACCCCGTTTTAGACTACCGGCTTAAGAAACAGGGATTAATAGAATTAACATTGATACCGCTCTCCTATCGTTATCCCTTTATGCTAAGATTGCATGTTATGTCAACTTGCCACTGTTACATTAATGCATTCCCGGGTCAAACGGATAAGGGCGTGTAAAGAAAATCCAAATCCGTATGTCTTTCATTCGGAGTTTTACATCAGCAAGCCCGGGTGGGGTCTATTTGATGAGGATCCGCTTTTATGATATCTTTTTATATGACTTTGAATAGGAATACCACCCCCGCTCGCTTGGAAAGTTTGAGATGGTTTTCAAAAGGGATACTGATAATTATTATATAGACAGATAAACATTCCTATCCTGTGAGATTTAAAAGACTTGAAATAGGATCCTACCTGGATTGGGGTCAGTGCCTATGCAAGAAAGGTGTACATTGTGTTAGATATACGGGACGAAAGTTGCTTTTGACACTTTTGTGACGTAAGTGGCTGTAATGGTACACTGAAATAAATACTTCGAGATATAAAGAATGCATTAACAGACTTGGACGGAGATAGGGATCTTGTGCGTAGGATCAAACGGCAATGCACTTTGGAATCAGTGAAACGTGAATTTGTTAGGTTGTGTTTCGAAGTTTGAAATCCATAAAGAAACTTGGTGCAATGCTTTTTATATATTATTCTTGTCTGTTTCCGGTAGTGCATGCGCATGCTATGACTCCACTTGATCGTCTGTATTGCTCATCTCATTTCTGGTGTCCCCCGCCGTGATATTGCTGGAATATTGCTAAAAGCGGCGTAAAAACAAACTCACTCACTCACTGTATTGCTCATAACCAACATGGGTACAATGTGAGAAACCCATTACTGGTTTCCCCATCCATGACATTGCTCGAATATTGCTAAAAGCGGCGTAATTCTCAACTCACTCACTAACTCTATTTGCTTATCAATTATGCTGAGTCAGCTTCAACTAAAATGTTCAGACGACGTAATAAAATTGCCTCACTGTTTTTCAAAACGCTCATAGGTGTTCTCTTTGCTTGTATATGCTCATGTTCACAGCAATAAATTTAAAGTTAACACATCGTTATTTCTACATCAACATCACAAACGCCCTATCACCGGAATGTCTGATTGAGATTTCAATCACGTGATTGTCTGATCAAGACCCGATTGCTTTCAGGCTACTTTTGTGTAAAACAAACAGGTCAGACACCGTCACGGTTGAGGGTTCTTCTGGTAGAGCAGGGCGTATACTTACCATCCCTTCAGTCACATAATTATCAACAATCGTTTCCTTTCATTCACAATAGAGTATGTGTCGGGGGTAAATCGAGGCAGATTAGTCTGTGGAATCGACTCTGTATATTCAGTTTAAAAATTCTATAGTCAGTTGATATTATTGTTACGAAATGTGACCTATTAAGCCCACAGGTCATAAAACGACTGCTGACACACATTTCATATCTTGACAACCGTCAATTATCCGTCATATGTTCTTATGTTGTCTATTTCAATTGCAGTGCGCATGGCAGTTGGCGGAAAGGAATTCATGGTGAATATCTTCGACACACCTGGACAGGTAGATACGCTTTCAGATTATTAATTTGAAGGAAAGCCAAACTTCAAATTTATCCCCAGAATAGAATTCATGCTGGTCGAAGCCTTTGAAGTATTCAGTAGCACAGTCTCCGGCAAAACATCTACGTATGTCTCTAATTATTTGTAATGGGGTCACACGCGAGGTCAGGTCAAGAAATAGAACCTCACTGCTAGATTACCCGTTTTGATAAAGGATTCGAACCAATTTGAAGTCCATATTTAAATTCTTCCTATCTAATACGACAACAATACAGGAATTTCATTCGATGGTTATCTTGAAAAGTGATTGATGGGTTGTGAATTTCTGAGTGATAATGTCCCGCGGAATCACCTTGTCGATCGTTATCAAGTCAGTTGACTGACCATGTGACGTTGTTTGTCCGTACCCTGTGGTCATCTCATGACTCTCTCTGACCCACCCAAGCAGAGGTTGAAATACACACGGGTATGTGACTGGCATATCAGACATTACATTGCACTTCAACCCTCGGCCAGTATTTGGACTTGCTGATAACATAGCTTAGTTCCGCGTCACGAAACGTCAATCATTGCTACATTGCATGCGTAAATAGTCTGAAATATATTAACTTTCTTAATCGTACTCTACTTCAATAGATCATCATAATGATAATGTATTGTTTTCCTATTTTAACAGCACGTGATAAATATTTAGGAATCGCTATTGTTTGGATTAAGGGGACATCGTTGTATTTTAAGTGTGTTTTGTTTTTCCTGACTATAAGTTCGAGGGAGAGTTTAATCATATTTTTAAACGTCCGATGACTGACCGATTACTTTACTTTCAGGATGACTTTGTGCACGAGCGAGTGATCACGTACAAAGAAAGCGAGGTGTTTGTACTGTGTTTCTCGACATGCGACCGGGAGTCTTTCTTGAGAGTACAGGATCTTCTCCTCCCAGAGATTAAAGAATTTACCGACAGAAAGGTTCCAATCATCCTAGTCGGAACGCAGACAGATCTCAGGAAAGGAACTAGAGAAAGCGATATCACAACGAGAGAAGGCGCGAGGTTGGCTAAAGAGATTGGGGCTGATTGCTATTTGGAATGTTCCGCGAAGAAACAGCAGGGCCTGAAGGAAGTGTTTGATCATGTCGTCATTTCCGCTTTGAAGGACCGGAAGAGGAAGGGAAACATCTTGCGCAGACTCTTTAAGAAATGACTCTGATCGCTCAGGATCGGAATAACCCGAATCTCAAATCTCGCGAGAACATGTGTTCACATGAGATGTCTGTCTCGTTACCCAAATACGAGAATCGTCTTCCATTCCTCATTGGAAGTTACCGTCCTTAAAAATCTTGCTTTTCGCAACAAGATGTCACGGACATGAGTTGTCCCACAAGACAACTGTCTAAAGCCGGACCTACTCTTCTGATGAAACGGTTACCGCCCCTTACAGCTTCGGGCGATGCCAAAACTTACATCCGCCAGTGACGTAAACGTACGCTGCGCGGAGCTCACCAGGACATGCCATGAGAGGAGTTATTTCATTACATCATGGCTGCTATCGGTGACAGGCTGATAAGAAAGGTGGACAGTAGAGTGATGGAAATGCTTATCAACCACATGGTCCTTTAAGCAAAATCACCATGTTGTCAACCTCGCACAATGCTTACGTCACGAGGTATTTGACCTATGTACCTGTCAATCTGTGAACATTTTCCTCATAACTTATGTTTATTATTTCGCCTTTTCGATGGTAAACATTTTGATGTTTGAGTTGTAAAATGATACCATTATAACAGCATTGAATAACAAGCATTTGACTTTTTTTCATATTGTATTTGGAATAAAAAACTTAGTGGTCCTTCAAGCAAAATCACCATGTTGTCAACCTCGCACAATGCTTACGTCACGAGGTATTTGACCTATGCACCTTTCAATCTGTGAACATTTTCTTCATATCTTATGTTTATTATTTCGCCTTTTTGATGGTAAACATTTTGATGTTTGAGTTGTAAAATGATACCGTTATAACAGCATTGAATAACAAGCATTTGACTTTTTTTTTCATATTGAATTTGGAACATAATTTTATTAACGTATTTGCGTTTTCACAAACATGGAATGCTATAATTTCCTGAAGCAGTTAGTACAATAATCTAAAAATACATCTGTGTTCACCTTTGGTTTAATCTATGGTCGTAATAAGTAGATTCGGAAATCTTATAATCCGCTTCCGAAACTGGTAATCCAAATCGGATGTATTGTTAGGGTCACTAAATCCAAAGGGTTCACCAGATAATCAGGCTTAAACAATGAACAATAATTATATAAGCTTAATCGAATCCGTGTTCTATTTATAGTTGTATGGTACACACTGGTAAACACGTGATCTGCAAACATAAAGACTGTGATCTCGTAATTTCGTGGTCTTCACGAATGTGAAGTCACTTGATACTTCACTGATGTTTGAGACCGGACAACGTACTTTCATGAAACTATATTGATTGTAATATGTAGCTCTTTCTAATATGTCAGTTTATGGAAGTGTCAGTAATTTAAATTTTGTCCACGGACTATGTAACCAGTAGTGCATGTGTACCCTATCTTGATAGCATGTGCAATATATATTTTGTAGTATTTACATTGGCTGCTGGTCGGCCCCACAGAGGAAAAAATATCTGGAAAATAAAGAAAAATATTCGTACTTTCGTTTCATTTTGTTTCTCAGTTTTTGGCATTTGGAAATTTGGTGCGTGGTTGATGTGTGAGGTGAAGTAAACTAGTGCTGTGTTCAAGGTTGTTGGCGCTCACAACGACGTGTATGGAGGTGCGTATTGTAAGTGTATGTGATTTGTGTGTGTGTGAGAGAGAGGTAGATGGAGAGAGAGAGAGGGAGGGAGAGAGAGAGTGGCATACATAGTATGGGTGCACGTACATCAGTTACAGAGCAAATGCTCATCATCAACTGTAGCTCCTTTAATGACTACCTTTATTCTGGTGGCACTTTAAGTATTTCCTGGAACAGGCACACCTACTACTGATTATATTTCTTACACCACTTGACACGTTTGTATTTAAAAACTCGATACTTGTTCCTTTAATGACTACCTATATTCTGGAGACAACCGAGAGAGAGAGAGTCTGTATAATTATGGTATGATCAGATCAAACTGCCCGAGTAATATAAAAAGTATTGGCGATATATATAGTCTGAGCGATATCACATTTTCAAGAAATGTTATTGGAGGCAACACAATATCGTGTTATTTCCAGGTAATTCCTCATCATATCACTATCTATAAGTATCTATCTATACATTGCTTGCTCGAAGTCCAGAGATCAATGCAATACGATACAGGTGAGACAGTGCTCTCTGATTACAGGTGTGTCTAATTAAGGTGGGTGGAATACCTGTCCAGATTAGACTGCAGTTTCGTTTGAATGTGCAACTCAACCTTTGTATTGTCCGTATCTCGTTTCGTTAAGCATGTAAGAACGTGTGTTGTTACTGTTATATTTCTGTAGTGTCTGAGAGAGAGAGAGAGAGAGAGAGAGAGAGAGAGAGAGAGAGAGAGAGAGAGAGAGAGAGAGAGAGAGAGAGAGAGAGAGCGAATGGGTACACGGAGGAGTCCAAGTGACACGTGATGTGTTGTTCCTCTTGGGGAAGCCAGGGCTCGATTCCACACACCTTTGGTTCATATGGACAATACATTCCCCCAAATAGGCGTTTTAGTTTTACGCCGCTTTTAGCAATATTGCAGCAATATCAGGACGGGGGGCACCAGAAATGAGCTTCACACATTGTACCCATGTGGGAAATCGAACCCGGGCCTTCGGCGTGACGAGCGAACTCTTTAACCACTAGGCTACCCCACCGCCCTTCCTAAATATGAAGCAGTCTTGCTTGTCTCTCATATTTGCATCTTACCTGGGTTAAAGAGTGGAAGGTAATTTGATATTTGAATATCATTAAACGATATATTTATCTGCATTTCTCATCACGTCTGTCAGACAGACAGACAGACAGTTTATTCTCAAGAGAACCCACCAACGGTGGTACATGAGAAAAGTACAATATAAATTCGCATATGATAATATAATCAATCAAGATGACAGCAATATAAGGTAAATACATATATATAGTGAAATTTTCAATGAAATATGACAAAGTAAGTTAGCAATATTCTCATGCAGCTGCAACTAGTCTGAAGATGGTGTTGATGAATTTAGACAGGTCTTTCACATTTTTTACTCTGGTGCTAGATAAACATTTTTTTAGCTTGAACATATTAGGCCATTCGTAGAGATCTTTACGTATGTGTATAGACCGCGGCTGGAGAAGGGCTTCACACCTGAACAGGTAGTGGAACTCATCACCAACCGCCGGGAAATTACATAGATGTACTTGAAGCTGACCCAGTGCCCATAGCTCGATATGTTGGACCAGCACATTGACAATGAACTGACGAAGGTTATTGTCACAAATAGAGACGCTACCTGAGATTGTATGTCCAACGGATTGGAAGCAGTATGAAGAGTCCACAAATAATAGCATTTGCATCAGTTGTCCTCGTTTTGCAACACGTTGCTATAATCTACGTAATCAGAGGAATATTTGAATATCAGTAAACAAATCAATGTCGAACGACCCAGATTTCTGTTTACTGCATTAACCCTTCTCTGACAATGTGACAATTATCATTACTCTTAATCATGATTCTTAAGCGTGTACGACTAATGTTTGTTGTTGATATGGAAACATCATATATATGTGACTTTTAGGACTAATGCTTATACTGGGAGAAGCAAATAAAGGAACACAGGAAATTTCAAGCGTTCCTTTAATATTTTCCAGTTGTCATCACCAGCTTTGAATAACACTGAGGGGTAGGGGCGTAGGAACACATATCTACCCATAACTACAATTTCATTTTGATTTTCAATACTTTTCATAAATTAGCCCCCCCCCGCGCGCTCTGAAAACCGTTCTTACGCCCCTGGGGAAATAAATCCGAGAAAAATTTAGGAACACATATAGTGGATAATGAAAGAGATCCCTTGTTATATTTAGTTTACGCAACGGGTATTCGCTCGGGAAATACCTACATGTATGTACAAATGTCTTGAACACAGCATGACATAGACACGAATATAATAATGTATCATTAGTGATCATGACTGTTGTAATCTTTCAGGAATGTTTGCTTACTGGCATTGACATGCTCGGTGATGTGATCGGTGACACACGTAATGACGTCAGCTCGCCATTAGCCAATCGCTGTTCGAGGGCTGGTGTCTCGCGAGACGTTTCGTGTCCTGAAGCACATTTGATTTTCATGAGCCCCGATTTGCTTTCTCTCGTGAGTGAGTATGATTTTACGCCGCTTTTAGCAACATTCCAGCAATATCACGACGGGGACACCAGAAATGGGCTTCACACGCTGTACCCATGTGGGGAATCGAACCCGGGCTTCCGGCGTGACAAGGCTACCCCTAAAAAATAAGCCAATTAGCCAAACAAAAATAAGAATATTCTTCTTCCAACTGCCCTACCACTTTTTCAACAGCCGACTTGGTACAATGGGACTGGGAATGTGTTCTTATCAGTATAACAGCGCTTGACCCCAAACAGCCCCATTGCTCAGCACGTCATCGTTTTGATGGGGCGTCTGTGATGTCTCAACACCTTCCGGATATCATGTGTCGTAACACTCTTAAGCCAACAAACAATAACGTGACGTCATCAGACGGCTGCCTTACCGCGTATCCTGTAGCAGAGGTTGGTCATGTGTCATTGATGTTAGAGTGAGTGAGTGAGTGAGTGAGTGTAGTTTCACGCCGCTTTTAGCAATATTCCAGCAATATCACGGCGGGGGACACCAGAAATGGGCTTCACACAATGTGCCCACGTGGGGAATCGAACCCGGGTCTCCGGCGTGATGAGCGAACGCCATAACCACTAGGCTACCCCAACGGCCCCATCATTGATGTTAGGCGTGTGTGCCCACTGTCCGACTTGTTGTTGCCGACCCACCTCAGTTCGGTTGTTGTATGACCGTCATTTTAAATGTTGATTTCGTTAAGATTTTGTTCGTCCCAACACATTTTATTTCATGCATATACATTTTGTGGGTTTTTAAACTACACTGATTTAAAACTAAGGTAAAGTTTCTTTTGGCCGTCAGTATGCATGCAATTTTTCGGACTGGAGAGGATCTCATGATTTCTGATGGCGTACGCACGTTCAGAACCGTCACTATCTAAATGTTGGTTAATTTAGAGAAAACACTTCGTAACCTTAGGTTGTGAAAACATCTTGTTTTTACTCTCGGGACAAGCATTTTGCACGTCCACTTGCTGATTTCCCGCAAGTCTCGTGTCCGGATGAACGAGGTTTCACTTAAAACATACTGAGGGAAACAGACAAGAGAACACCACGTCATGGCAGTGTTCCTTAATTCACTCTCAGATTTCCTCCCACCGTTTCCTTTATTTGATTCTCTCAGTATAGATTCATAAGAGCGTATGCACATGCAAAATAATCGCTATTTGTTATATCTAAATTTCAATCTATTTTCTTCAAACGTTTGGTACCGTTAGTGGTTGGAACCATGTAACTGCCTTACCCGCTCTACAAGTATTTCATCACGTACACTTGTTTATTGCAGTGCATTTCTGACGTCACACGTCTTCACCAAACCGTTTCGACCCCAGCTGAAAAACAAAAAGTGTTTGAATCGACCTTTGTCAAGGAGGTCTCAAGTTTAACTCACGCGACTCGCGTACATAATTACTTTTGTGCATAAGTGATTAGGAAAGTAGTTTACAAACACAGCTAGCATTACAACAGTATATATGGTAAGGCGTACGTGTTTTCGCGTTTGAAAAGGAAATGGTGGGTTTGGAGAGGTTGGACGATGCAATTGAAACTGTTCGCTGTGCGTAGTATTTGTCTTATTGCTCATTTCCTTTCATTGTTTCGACTGTCAATGGTTTAATGGGGTTATCAAGGGCATAGAAAAGTGTTTATGGTTTAACGAACCAGATGAAGATAAGTGAACAAGTTAGCTTAGAATAACGTTGTTTTACCGTTATATAACAGCATTTCTGCTCAATACTAATGGTGAAAGAAACACGAAAAATAGAAATAGGGCTGAATATAGGATTCGAACCCATTATCAACAACCCGTGAAGAATTGATCTTCAGTAACCCATGCTTGTGGTAAGAGGCGACTAACGGGATCTGGTGGGCAGGCTCGATGACTTGGCTGACACATGTCGTACACCAATTGCGTAGGTTGATGCTGGTGACCAGTATGCTTTTGTGTGTGTGTGTGTGTGTGTGTGTGTGTGTGTGTGTGTGTGTGTGTGTGTGTGTGTGTGTGTGTGTTATAGTGGATTATGAAGCATAAATGTTAACATCAAAAGAACAAAGATAAGTGTTGACGACAAACATCCTATACAACTATACAAGAACGTTTATTGAAAACTTAATACTCAAACACATGCTATACTTTGCACGTGTGGGGCTACACACGTGCGCAATGTGTCATTCCAGATTTCGACTGAAAAGGTCTGAAACTTCCTGTTTATCAATTCTTCTGTCAATCATACTGATTCTGCTTATCATACTTAAATAATTGACGTGGTGTCATTGACAGTTTGTGTATGAACTAGCAATGAAGTACAGGTGTGGTCAATGTT